GACGTAACAGAAGGGAACAGACTCAAAATAATGTAGAATCGATAGCCTTGACTACACCCTCAAGAAGATTTTATCCTTCTTTGAGATTTGTTTAAAAATTCAAAAATTATCCTCCATGCAACATTCGTGTGAAGCTTAATTCCGCTTACTACAAACATTGCACGGGAACAATTCCGTCCATATGCTAGTATACCCCCTCCTGACGTCGCCTTTCTCCTCCGTGTTCAGCTTGACAGATTCTCTTGGTACGCAACTCGGCTACAGCAACTNGTATACCCCCTCCTGACGTCGCCTTTCTCCTCCGTGTTCAGCTTGACAGATTCTCTTGGTACGCAACTCGGCTACAGCAACTTTCGTGTTACCCAATTCCCGTACCAGGTAACCTGCCATACTTCAAGTGTGGGATGATTAAACCCCGTTATACAGACAAATGCATGTCCCAGCAATTCTATTAAACATGCTGGGCTATGGCTTGTCAGTACCACAGAATTCTCTTCTACATTCGGATATACGATCAGGTCGACTTTCAGCTGACGGAACGAACAGGGGATGTTTCAGTATTTTTATTTAACATATACCGTGAACATCCACTGGTCCTCCCATCGAGCCCTTATCCTAGACGTGTCAGGGACTCGAACCCCAGCTCAGAAATTGGCACGCCGACGAGTGAAGATCTCCATACAGGGTATACCACGCATACATTGGACGAATGAGTAAAAGTTCGGAGAACAGTTTTAAGTTTTACGTTTTCGAGCCATTTTCCAACCTTTTTCAATAAAAAACAGGAAGCGCGGACCCCTGCTCTTGAAAGGAACGCCAAAACAAAACGGGAGGCCCGCGCAATAAACGACGCCGACACGGCACTGCCGAATTACCCGCGCCTGCGCAATAAAAGGCACCCCTCACTCTGGCTGCCAGACAAATGGCAGGAGAGCGTTTCAGGGCAAGCTTTTACAAAATCGTCGTAATATTCATATTATAGACTCGAAAAAGTTTTTCTTTTATATTTTATCTATAAAGGTTCAAGAGGTGAAAATTATAACAGGTCCGTGTATATATGTGTTTTGTGTCTTATTATTTAATATAAAAAGTTACTAAAATGTCTCGAGTTGTACAAATTGTGTGATTGTATATTTCGTGTCGTGACGATTATATGTGTATATTATATCGATTATATGTTTTTATAACAAAAAGAAGAAAAACACAAAAATTCTCTATGCATATCATAATATTTATTTTCGATACTTCAACAAACGATAATACTCTTCAGCGCCGAACAAAAATTCATTCATCATTCCACGTTTACTGCATTCTCTTGATCTTCAGAAGAGTGCACTGCACTATCGGTATCTTCGATATTAACTGTAGGTAAATCTATTTTCCTAGAGTATTTAATGACTTCGCGAACGCCCGATGCAAGATTAGCTTGATAATCCATGTTCTCTACGCGACACTTCGTTGTTACCTTTACTTTACTTTTCCGGATCATACCCTCGCCGCTTAAAATCGAAGTTTGAGACGGATATCGCGGTAACACTTGTTCATCTGGAAGTGGCAAATTATCTAAATCCACGTCTTCAAAGCCATCTTGATTCGTGTCTTCTTTGATCGATCCTTCCTCCTTTGTGATGACGTTTGCCTGCTGGTTGTCCACTCCTCGCGCTCCTTCAAGAACGATCCCTTCTAACTCGATACGTTCCGGGCTCCTGGGACGGGTACGCAACTGAAAAATTGCAATTTATTTTACATTTGAAAATTGTTACTTTTTGTGTGACTTACTTGTGTATACCGATGACGCGCCACCGTATACGACCAATATACGACAGCTGTCGTACAGCCGCCGAAAATCACTCCGAAGATCACCAACCCGACAACAATCCAAGTTGACATCGAGGCAGAAAACGGTGTAGTCGTCCAAGACCTATTACTGGACTTAGT